ATAAACAGATCTGGATTGTAAATCCCTTTCATTGTACTTCTACAGGTAAAAATATTTTAACTCTTGACAGCTTTTGCTGGGGAAAAATTAAAAGGCTGAAGAACTTTTCCTATAGTCTAACTCAAAGTCCTGCTTGGAAGAGGAGAGATTGTTCCTGAACCGCTTTCATATCAGAAGTGAGTTGTTTACAGCTTTTTGAAACATTTAGGATTTTCTCTTAATATTTCTTATTTTATGACCAGAAAAACTAGGAGCATGCAGCTTTCTGATTGCTGTTGTCAGCCAGCAGGAAAACACTTAAGCAAGAGTAAAGCAATTTCTTTATTATTGGTGGGGTCTTAAAATACATGTTCAAGCTTCATAAAGAACTTAGCACTGACGGGAATTTTGCCACGGTAAGAAAGGAAGAATTTGGCCCTTTCTCTGCAGCTACTGACAACACTCCACAATTTTATGCTGCTAGGATTTTTTAATTAAATGTCCTATTCTTCAGTACACAATAGAACTAAAAAGGAGAGAGTATCTAAGTATGAAACTAAGTTTGTAAAGGAGTCTCTAAGTCCTTTACAAATGTGGGCAGAAAATTAAAAATTCCAGCGATACCGAGATTTTCTGGATAAGCAAGTCCATATATTTTTAAGGGGTGGGGGTTTTTAAATAGCTGTACTTTTTGCCTCAGTCAATAAGTATCATGAGAAGGAGAAATATGATATTAAGCAGGATCTGATCCTAAACTTATGGCTCCAGTGGGAACTGACTAAACCCCATTTATAGCATATCCCAACAGAAACACTCCATTTGCTGTAGCAGTGTTTACTGCATCTGAATTCTCCTAGCAGAAAGCAGCATTTTCACAGTCGAGTTCCAATATTAGCAGTGAATTAATTATTAAGTTTTATTTGTGGGGCCATGCTGAGGTTGAGGGAACAGCGAGGGGGGGGGGTCGGGGTCCCTCATTGCTGTTATTCCTTGGCAAAGAGTATGGATTTGGTAATCTGGTCAATTTTCAACTTTTAGTCAGCCATGTGCCTGAAAAAAAACAGTTTACTGGAAAGAACCTGACCAAGTCTCTTGGGTAGTTGCTGAATTCATACAAAAATACACCTTTGGGCAAAAGAACAATAGTTTAAGAAATATCCTGAAAGCAATCATTGCTTGGATAAGGTGACTTGCATGTCATTTCCATCAGCTCTACAACATCAGTCCAGCTTTCCTATCAGTGCTTGCATCCAAACAGACATTTTTATGTCAGAAATGAATCAATAAATTTTAATCTAGCTCAAGAATGTTACCAGTAAATAATGTGCTATAAACCAAAGCAAAATTGAAAAGAGACAAAAAGTGCCGTACCTGTACAGTAATTTATACTCTGTCTGAAGCCTGTTCCAACTCAATAGGAGTCTCCCATTGATTTCAGTGTGGTTTGGTCAGTCCCTTATTTCAGCCCTCATGTGTTTCACCAGTTTAATGTAGTCACCCTTCCTGGTAGCCTTTGTCCATTGCTCCTAATAGGAGCATTCAACAATTTGCTGTACGATTAAAAATGTCTGTGGAAGCATGGACCTCGCTGTGTATTGACCAGACATACACAGAGGCTAGAGAACTCCTGCAAATATCACAGCAGAAAACTAATCAAGGACCAAGAATATATTTTTATTTTAGCTTTACAAAAATATCCTGAGTATTTTAAATTATAAATACTCATATTAGGTACACCATTTCAGTGAAAGTCCTGCTGCAAGCAGTAGTGATAAATAAAGATAAATAACAAAATCTAAACGGATCAAAAGTATGACTGACACTAAAAGTGCTGTAAGCAAATAACCTGCTTCACTCACCTGTGTGAAAGATAATGATTTTGATTTAAATATAGATACTCACATTAGGTATGTAACTGCCTGTATTATAACCCCACTTCCTAAACCAAACGTGTCAATAAAGCATAGAGATAAGGCAAAGAAAATCCAAACTTGAATAATTGAACACTTCTTTTTATAAATAAGAAAAAATATCTAGAATGCTGTGATGCTGGCATTGCATTTACAAATTCTTGATTTATATCTTTATGTTTACAATGTTTATTGATTTGTATTGATGAGCTAGTGGAAATACACATCTATTCAGCACGCGTGTTATTTAGCAGATGAGTATTTTCAGGATATTTTCTAGATGATAGTTCTTTTAGATGCCAAACAGAAACTACACTTGCTCTGTTAGTATTTTTTTTTTTTAATGTACAATACCTTAAAACCTAAAATTCCACTGCAAACCACCCTCCGTTACAGTGCTTCATGCTGACCTAGGTGTAAACTGCCACCCTTCAAGAAAATCAAAGAAAGGTGAAATTTTAAATGAAAAAAAAAAAAATCTGTTTGCATGGGGGCAGAGAGGCAATGTTCTTTCAGAAATAGTGCACCTAATCCAAGTTTGTTTCTAATGTGAGCTGTTTGAGCTTGCTTGGCCTGCAACCTGCAAAGATATCCTGTCAGATGTGCTGTCCACTTTTTTCTATGAATTGTTAGTAAAATCTACTTGAAATATAATGAGGGAAAAGATATACAGTAACATCTGCAGAGGATTTTTTGTCAACTTCTGAGGTGACCATTTTACATTCAGACTGTAAGATGTGCACAGTAAATGGGCCTGAGAAAGAATTCTGAATCTCACAGCATTTGGTTTATATTTTTTTGACTACAAGTGAAGTGTCTGGCACATCATTCATTTCTGACTGGAAGGTGCAGATTTGAGGACATGTTCAACCCTGCTCTAAGTTTAGACAGTTTCAGAATAAAAAGGAACTATTCCCAAAGTCCCTGCCCTCTAGGTCTGCCTTTTAGATAATGAAGTTTCTGAAGGCGTTGCTCAACACAAACCGACTACAGAGGAAAGGGGGGAAAGAGGGGGGGGAGGGAAGAGGAATATGACAGAAAAACACATGGTTTTGCATTTCTTCTGAGTTTATTCAGAATTATATCCATCTGGGTGAAACAGCTAGCTACCCACCAAATCAATGGTCTGATAATTCAGGGAAATGTAGAGCTAGGTTCTTAGCTGTAAAATGCATGTAAATGAAGGAAGGCGTGCACAGAGGTGAATGTAGTTTGGTAGGATAGAGTTTTTCATAGATAAGGTATTAATTTGGAAAGAATAGGCTCCTAATAAAATGCCAGCGTTACAGCAGTTTTATTAAAACACATCTTGGAATAAAGGATCAGATTCTCTCGGACTCAGCTGCAACCCACTGAGGATCCTGAGCAAAGGCACCATTTATTAGCAGAGGCGACTCATTAGAGAGGGGGAAATTGCTGTCGGCTAGGAGCTCGGTCCCGCTTCAGCTGGAAGTTTTGCTTGAGGAGCTTGCCGTGCCCGTGCCCCTACCCGTGCCCTGCCGCCCGCTGCAGTGCGGGAGCGGCTCTCACCTCTTCCCGCGGGGACAGGAGGACATCAGTCTGCGCTAGGAGACCGTTCCGTTGTCTCTAAAACAGTGATTCCTTGGCCAGCCTGCCTGAGCAGAGCAGCAGTACCCGCAGATGCTCAACAAATGATCGGTTAAAATACGAAACGCGGGCTCCTTCTCTTTTTTAATCTTTTTTTTTTTTTTTTTTTTTGACATCAACTTCTGAACTTCTGGGCGATTAATCCCTCTCCAGAGTTTGCCCGTGCCTTGTCACGGGAGTAACATCCTGCACAACTTAACGAGATAAACCCTGACAAGCTAATCAGGCCGGGCGGGGGTTGGCACCGCGTCCCGGGGCCGGCGGCCGCTCCGCGTCCCCGGAGCCCTCCGCGGATGGCTGAGCGAGCCGGCGGGGAGGCAGCGGGGCCGCGGGCCCTGGGCCGGCCCCGAGGGCAGCGGCGCTGCCGGGCGGGGCCCGCGGGCGGCGGCAGCGCTGAGCGCCGGGCCCCGCAGCCACCCCGCACCGCGGCCTCTGCGCGGGGACCCGCGGGCGGGGGCCACTGCCGTGCGGGGGCCACTGCCGTGCGATTACCGGGCTCGCTGCTCAGCGGCGCGCCCTGAGCTTGGCGGGGCCCGGCGGCTCCCCCGCCCCGCTCCGCCGGGACCGTCCTCCCGCAGCCGCCCGGGGGTTCCCGGGCCGCGGGGCAGCCCTGCCCCGGCTCCCGGCGCTATCGTTCTACCCGGAGAACTAGAGCGCCTAATTTATCCAGTCCTCATTTGCGACCGGTCTCCTGCTAAATTATGTCAACCAAAGGTCAGCCGGACTCAGCGGTTTTCTTCATTTTCTTAATTTTTAAAACAAACAAAAAAAAAAAAAAAGGGAAAAAAAAAAAAGAAGGAGGGGGAGTGGGATGGGGGAGGGCGGGGGAGAGAAACCAGCAAGTTATTCAAATTCAGCCTCATCTGAATAATCGTGAATTTGATCCAGTCAGAGCTGCAGACTGTACATTAAAAATAAACGTCCAGGAGGCATTTACTGAAGTTGATTTATTTTTTTAAAAATAGGTTTTAAAAATGCAACGTCTCTCCAGCCCCTCCCCCCAAAGATAGAGTGAGTTTTCAGGTAGTGCACGAACCTTACGGAGTGGTATCAGTGTGTCTGCAATATTTAAGCTGAATCCATGACCCCCCCAATCATAATTGTATGTTCACAAAGCACATATGGAAGCTGCATTCTTTGTATACTTTGTTATGGTCTGGTGTGTAATGTAAATATCTAAGTTCCTACCCAAAACACAAGCTCACTTTCCCAGTAACAACCAAAAAAAAAAAAAAAAAAAAGGAAAAGAAAAAAAAAAGTTGCTTTGCAAACTTAAAGAGAATGACATTAGTGCCGTGCTACTGTCGGAGCCAGCAGTGATTATTTGGTCTGTTTGCTCCCATTCAGAGTTAATACACGACAATAGTTTTACTCTGTGCTGCTTGACGTGAAACCACTGGGGTTGGGCAATTCTGTTCCAAACAAATACAACTTCTACACCCATCCCTGGGACAGCAAGCCGAGAGCTGAGCGAGTTTTGCAATGGAGAAAAGCATCACTTACCACGACGGGGATCTAGATCTCGGCAAATGCTGCCAGTAGGTCTGAGAAGTGAAAAAACTGGAAGGGAAGCGCAAAAAGCAGAAAGTTGGACAGGGGGATTTGTGTGTGTGTGTGCGCGTGTAAAAGCCAGAGGGAAATGCGAGCACAGCGCTCCCTGCTCTCCCTGGTCGCCACCAAAACAAAGATCCAGGAGTTAAGGGAGCAAAGCTGTGCCAGATCTACACACACAGCTCCTTAGGGCCAAACCTCAGCTCCTCACTCACTCCAGCTAGCGACAAGGGTTAATGCTCCGGAGGGACAGGCTAGCCGGCCCTTGACACCATTGGCTAGAAAAGAAAGCAGGTTTAAGGTAAATTTACAGGCGCTTTGCAAATTGCAAAGGGATAATTTTAAAATTAATATAACAACAATAATAATATTAATAACAGCAACAGCAGCAACAACAATAATAATAGAGCCCATTCTTGTCCAGTTGGCTGAGAAGGGAGGGCACGTCCACCTCCTCTGCCCCCGCAGCGAGCGCTGCGCGGTCCCGTCCCAGCGCAGAAGCCCGAGCCCTGCGCCTGCCCCAGCCCACCGGGGGGACCTGGTTATCTCTGGAAACACAACAGAGACGAACCCGGGGGGGAAAGGGCTGGGGAGGAGAGAGGAGGCGATGCAGCCATGAGCACTAAATGCAAAGGTTCAGCCTCACACTTGGAGATCAACAGTTTTCTTGGGAGCTAAATGATGGGAGCGAGTTCCCACGTGAAGGCAGGGGCATGTGGCTCAGGTGTGTGCCCGGGTGCCAATGTCCCCCTGAACGCCCTCCGTGCTCCTACAATCACTGGGGAGCTTCTCCTTCGGATAAAGGGGAAAATGGAAGAAAGAAAATAGGCTGGATGGAAAGGAGGGCAAAAATATGTATGAATATACTTCTGTGTAAATGTTGGAGCAAACGGTGACTACGTTGTGTGCACAAGACGAGCTTCCACTTGGGGAACCGAGGTCAGGATCTGCCCTTTCTGAAATGAACAGACGACATGATGGACACCGGCTTTATTGTCGCCTCTTGTAGTCGGCTGGGGCGTGCAGGGAGCCTCAGCCATGCGGGGAGGGTGACCCGGGAACTCCAGGTGTTGGAGCGGCTTCCACAAGGCAGCCCCGGCAAACACATCGATGGGCGCGCGTCCGTCTGCAGCGCCGGGCAGGGAGGGCAGAGGGGGCGATGAGAGAGGTGGGCTATGGCGGAGGGGCAGAGGGACGCAGAGGTTGCCGAGAGAGAATTGTCACTGGGAGACTTCCAGCCAGCCTGGCTCCAGCCGGAAGGGCCTTTCTGGTAACTTTGGGGATGCCGGGCCGGGCCGTGGGGCCGCGGCCATGCCCGAGCCAGGGCAAGTGCCCAGGTGTGTCCGGGAGCCCGCACGGGCTCCGAAGGGTTCCTTGCTCCTTCCTACCCGCTCCCCATCGGGCTCTGGGGGAAAAGAAAAACCCATCTCATTAGCGAGATGCAGAAGCACATTTATGATACATATGATACCATGGGATGTTATTTTGCCACCGTACAAAAGGTTTTAAAATCACTTTGTGCCATTGAACAATGAGTACTGGGAATTATTACTGTTTGTTAAAAAAAAAAAAAAAAAAACAACACACAAACCAAAATAACAACAAACCCTGCAGCTTACAAACAGAATAAACACCAAGAGCCTGCGTTTCTTCCTCGGATCTATCATGCCATGTCGATATATCAGCAATAAAATATGAAGGGCCATACAGTATGATGAGGTTTTTCCCTAACAGGAGCGAGGCAGAAAGGAATCCATTACAAGAACCTTTCTCCCATCCCCGGAGATGGTACTTTTGTGGCGACTGCACCCGTCGCATTTTTTGCCACATAACCCCACGAAAAACCACTCGGCCAGGCGAGGAGGGGGGCGGGGGTTCGCTAAAGCGCCCGGTAAAGGAGGAAGGTGGCGTTCGCCCAGCGAGCCGGGGAAGGCTGGAAGCGCCCGCCCGGGCGCACTGATGGGCAGCCGCGGGGGACGGTGCGGCGGGAGCGACCCCGACCGGGCCGGGCCGTGCCGGGCGGCCCCGGGGCGCTGCTCAGGGGCGGGCGCGGGCACCGGCACCGGCACCGGCACCGGCACCGAACACCGACACCGGCACCGACACCGGCACCGACACCGACACCGGCACCGGCACCGGCACCGACACCGACACCGGCACCGGCACCGGCACGAACACCGGCACCGACACCGACACCGACACCGGCACCGACCGCGGGCGGCGGCGCGGCATAAATATTCAACAGCACGTGGAACACGGGCCGAGGGAGCGCATGCGCCACCGGGGCGCACGGCGGGCGCTCACACACACACACAGAGAACACACAGAGCACACACATCACACACAGAGAACACACAGAGCACACAGAGTACACACATCACACACACAGAGAACACACAGAGCACACAGAGTACACACACATCACACACAGAGAACACACAGAGCACACAGAACACACACAGAGCACACACACATCACACACAGAGCACACATATCACACACAGAACACACACAGAGCACACACACATCACACACAGAGCACACAGAACACACAGACATCACACACACACAGAGAACACACATCACACACACACAGAGCACACAGAACACACACAGAACACACACATATCACACACACAGAACACACAGACACACACACACAGAACACACACACATCACACACACACAGAACACACAGAGCACACAGAACACACACAGAACACACCACACACACACAGAACACACATCTCAGAACACACACACACAGAACACACGGCCGGTCACACGCACATACACAGAACACTGGCACACGCCACTCACTCGCTCACACACACGACACACATGTTCATTCACACCCCCCACACCTCCCCCGCGCACTTCCGCGTGATTTCTAGGAACCTTCCCCAGACGGACAGCCCCGCACCTCCCCGCTGCCCCCTACCCCCCCAGCCATCTGAAAGGGGCAGTATCAAGCACAAAACACATGTGTCCCGGCGAGGAGAAGCTGGCTGATGTGGGGGTATTTTCCAGTTGGGGGTTTTTTCACTCTTTGGCCACATTTTTTCACGGGATTTTTGGAAGTGGGAAAGATCCAAAAGGATCTTGCAGTCCTGACCCGTGCCAAAACACAAGTTTTTGGGGTTTTGTGTTTTGTTGGTTTTGTGTGTGTGTGTGTGTTTTTTGTGGGTTTTTTTGTGTGTGTGTGTGGGGGGGGGGGTTTTTTTTTTTTTTTTTGCTAAGCAATACGGTGCCCACGTCTCGCAAAGAAGCATGTGTGGACGTGGGCTTGAGTGTGCCCCGCTGCCTGGATGCAGCTACCCCAGACAGCTAATTCTATTTGAGTTCCCAGATGTAAACACATGCACAATCACAGATGCACACATCGAGCATTTTTTTAATAGCAGTTTCATAGAGAGGTAGTATGATCATATATATCTAAAAGGTAATTAATTTGATTTATTATACTTGAAAAATCCTGTCTGCAGTACCGGCGTCATCTGGAAACTTCATGCTATTTTATACTATCGTTCTAAAGCCGAAATAAATGTTATGAATTGATGACAGCTTCCAGCTGCATGATAAAAATAGCCCCTTCGCTTCACAGGATCGTGTTTCATGTTATCGAAGATGAACCAAATCTGACCCATAGATGTTCGCAGCAGGGGAAAAAAATTGGTACAAAATAAAAAGCTTGGCCATTTTTAATAAACAATGCGCCCTAAAACACAGCATCTTTGCAGTGAAACGGAACCCACCTTCTTACGTTCAGCAAGTTCAAGAAATCAGTCCTGCCCATCGTTCAAAATACGAATCTCAATTATTAATGTTTCTTGTTGAACTTGGAAATTACACCCATTTTGTTACAAACGCGATCCATTGTACAGAAACATTCGCATTAAATAATAGAGGTTCTGTGAGCCTTCGAAAATATACTTCCACTTAAACACATGAATACGAGTCTCTCTAGAAACACCGCTCCTTTATGCACAAATGTAGACAGAGGTGTGTATATACAGATGCGGACATATTAGTAATAAAACCAACAACGCGAATGGTGATTCCGGTGAGCTTGTGCGCATCTGCAGCAGTGACCGTGTGTCCTATGAGTTACATCCTCAGCACAGGTAGTGCCGGTGCCCTCCACGGGACCTCCCCGTGCCCGCGGAGCCGTGCTGGACGGGGACGGCGGAGCCGCACCGCAGGCCGGGCTGCGCGGCCGCGCCGGGCCCCGGCCGGGCCTCTCAGCGTTCTCCGGCCTCTTCCGGGCAGCAAACCCCCGCTCAGGAGGGAATAGCCACCTTTGGAGGAAAGCGTGATGATCTGCCTCGGAAACGCCGCCCTGAGCCGCGGGGACCAAGCCCGCATTGAAGGTGCCCCGCGGGGCGGCGGGCGCGTTCCCCGCACCGACAGGAACACCCGTGTGCGGGCTCGTGTGAGCGCGGGGCGTCTGTGTGCAAAAGCATATGGAAACTTCATAATGGTGATGTATAGTGTGCCTGGTACCTGTACAGCCTCCTTCGTGGGCTTATCGCTCACGAATTCCTCTCTCCATCTGAGCTGCAACGGCAAAATGCACACTGGTTCTGTTAGCGGTAGGTCACTTGACATACTCTGCCCTTTCTAGAGGGGATCTCCTTCTGCGTCCTGCCTGCTGGAAATGGGCTTTGCAGCGGGGCTCTGGCTCCACGCCGGCCGCGCCGGGGCTCCTGAGGCCGCGGGCGTGCTGCGGGGCTCTCTGCGGGCCCCCCGGCCCCGCTCGCCGCTCGCTCCCTTTAAAAGTTGCTGGAAAGAGGAGCAAACGCTCTGGACGTAGGAAAACTTACAAAGTCTTCGCCGTTCACCAGCGTGGCCAGAGAAGCAGCAAATAAAAATGCCGATGTTCTGTACAAAGTCCAGTATCTGCTGCTTCCTCGCCGCTGAAACAAGGGCAATAACCAGGCGAGGCCAGCGCGGAGCGGGTGTCCCTCTTTCAAACAGTGTCTGCTCTAAAGAAGCTAACTTTGGCTTATGAATGCCAGACTCGCCTTTTAATAAATTCAAGCGATCACTCACAAGCCATTAAAGCGACCTGAAAGGCGAGTCTTTCTCAGGGGAAATAGAAGCACCCGATTATTGTTTTGCGTTTAACTTTCTGCGTGCAAACGGCACAAGCACGGCCGGGGGTTGCCACCCTAAAGGGGCCAGCACACACAGCTCTCCACACACCCACCCTAACAGCGTCCTGCACCCTCCCGAGAGCACTGCCGCCCTGCCTTGGGTAGGTCCAAACAATCTTCCGCGGCGGCGGGAGCGTCTGCGGGCGCGGGAGGCTGCGGGAGGCAGACAACAGACCCCAGCGGTTTGGCTGCCCTGGACCAGGCAGCGAGGGGCTGCCGGCACGGCCTGCCATGGGCTGCGAAACCTCATAACCCACGCAGGGAAAGTATCCCGACAGCATCTCCAGTCAGACATCAGAAAGAAAATGATGGCCCCCGTTGAGGCTGGAGAGCTGGGGTAGGTCTTTCTACCCGCAAGCTTTCGTGAATAAATCCGCAAAGGACGCCTTGTTAGAGGAAAGTTGACTTTAGGGACTGAAACAGCACAGAAACCGCCGAGAGACGCCTCACAACCTCTCTGCCTGAAAAAACACCCCTCTCTCAGCCGGGGATTTCAAAGCACTACTCCCCTCTCCAGAGCCAAGCGAACAGAACAAGCACCAGCATGGCGTGGACTTGAATTCAGCATTAACAATTCCAGCCCTACTGATCGTCGCTAATTCAGAACATACACGGGATGGCGATCAACCAGTATCGCACCGTTCCACTTCACCACAGATAAAAAGGCAACAGCAGCAGCAACAACAACACTAGAATCATTCTTTCTGCTGTAGGACGCTCGAACAAACCTCAGACCGAAAGTTTAAAAGAATACTCATTAACCAAGTGTTCCAATACACACAAGTAACAGATCTGTGCTAAGCGACCACTAGGGACTTTACACAAGTTCAAAGAAACTTGCAAAACGCATCTTTAAAATATCTCACCCTCACCACGTTTCTCCGGGTTTACTTTACAGATGGGTGGCTCAGAGCAGCTCTACGATATTTCTTTTTTTCTTAGTTACACTGAGGTTATATTTTTTAAAACTGAAACCTGGTCAAGTCGGCGGGACAATTATCCTGAAAGATTCGCAGGGAGCAACATTTTCGGCGCATGAAACACTTTTTTCCCCTGGCTCTTTTGACGGTGGGTTAAATTTCCTCAAGTCCCAACACTTTCTGTCCAAGTCCCACCGGGCTCCAACTTTTCCTATCTCGCCAAACCCTGCAAGGTGGCGCTCTTTTCACTGAAAACTGATATTAGCCTTATAATAATAACATTTTGTAGAAAGTAAAGTTAAAGGGAAGCCTTCCCACGGGTGCCGCAGGGAGCAGGAGGGGATGCCAAGCTGGCAGGAGTGGGGTTTCGGATGAGCAAGACAAACTCTCTCTCTTTTTTTTTTTTTTTTTTTTTTGGGGGGGGGGGGGTAGGGGGGCACTGTGCTTTGGGGCAGTGAAACCTCTCCGAGGGAGATCTCCAAATGTTACGGACAAAGAAAAATACTTGCGGAGTGCTGTTGAGAGACAGCGGGTTGTGCTCTGGGCGGGTTACGGTCAGGGCTGCGGAGCGCCCGCACGGATGTGAGGGGAAAGCGGCTTCCCCCGAACCCCCGCCCCCCGAGCGGTTAATACGGCTATTGACTCGCTGTACACATAATATTTCTTTAAAGAAGCTGTTAAAGTGTCATCTTGGTCTACTGGAAGGTCAGTTTGTGCAATTCACTCTATGACATATCACAAACCCTCGCAGCTTTAGCCAACCTCATGATTTGTGTTGTCTGTTGATATGTTGTCTGCTTAATGGGGCGATCATGCAAGCTACAACCAGGAACAAAGCCCAACAGTTCCAACAACCGTAGCTAAGTTAGTGGAAGCAGTACAGCTTGCAAATCTATCAAACTAAACTGCAAGGAAGACAATCTGATTTAGAGAAAAGGCGTTCTGCTACAGTCATTAAGCACAAGTAATTTAGATTTTTTATATTGTCTTCTCATTTACAAATTTACTGTATCAACGCCAGCCAATGGAACGAATTTCTTAAGTAAATGAGAAATAAATAAAAGAGATAGAAAGATAATCAAATTACATAAAATAATTCTTATGCCCTAGATTTATTTTTTTAGAAAGCTATTAACACTGGCAAAATTATAGTAATAATAATAACATAACATAAGAAGTAATTGATTTAAATTAACATCACGTTTTAAGGAATATCAGCAAAGAAAAAAAAAAAAAAGGGAGGGGGAGGAAAAAAAAAGAAACAAAACCCAAATAAAAAATACACACAACAACAACAACGGCCTTCGTGAAACAGTGCTGTACTTCTCGGAGTAAAAGGCCCAAGGAAAGTCATGAATCCACTGCCTAAGAATTAGTTATGGTCATAAATGCCTTAAATTAAAATAGCAACTGAAATCTCCTCTGTTTTAAATCTCCTAATATATGTTATCCGAATTAATTTAATTTAGGAACCCAGTCTATGCAGATTCATGGACAGTGTTGGAGTGGAATGCAGCACTTCTCGTGTAACAATTCCCCACATTAATATTTATGTAGCATATGCAATCTATTTCTGTTATTTTTATGGTTGTTATTCTATGTCTGCAAAGGTCATTTAAATTATACTGCGGCCGAAAATTTGTTTCATAAATTTTGATATAAATACTAATTACACACTATAGTAATGCCAGCAGGGATCCTTTCATTTATCACATTTATATCACCTTCGCTGCTTTAGTGATGACATAATGGAAAGCAGTGAAAAACTGGGACAGTTTTATTCTAATATCCTAAAGCTAGTTGGAGTTGCAGCAGGTTGACTTAGCGAATAAGAATTCCTACCACAATTCTTGGGATTTAAGAATCTTTAATAAGGTACGAAATGTTACCAAACAGTTCTGTAAACTAAATTTTACATACCAATTCTTCTAGCCATAAATATTGAATATCTTGTAACAGGTATAACCGGACCTTTACATGCGGATAAATATGGAAATTAGGATTTATATACATTATGTTCTTGTATTTGCCAAAAGCAACGGACAGATATAGTTTATATCTTTTTTTTTTTTTTAATATCACTTTACATAAACAAATGTAACAGTTTGACACGCAGATCCAGGCTTTCACTATACGAATTTCTTGACAGGACGTGTAACAACAATTTACTGCACTACTTAGACTGGACTTTGGGACGAAATGTTGCACTTTATACAAAAAAGCACATTAATACCAATAATATTCTGTTAGATCGACGTTTAGACTGTAATAATACAAAGTAATTCACATTTTGGTACACATTTACTAGAACATTCTTGCCATTCAGTACAAATAGTTGAATTTCTACCTCTTCCCTCTGCCCCCCCACCACCTCTGCCCCCCCCGCCACCGCTCCCGCCCGCCCGCCCCTCCCCACATATATGCAAAGACCACAAATCCACATATCCCCTTATTCAACTTGCGATATAACTATTTACAAAATCAATCAGTACATTTTTTTGTTGTTTTGTTTTTGAAGCTAATAATTCTGTATTTACAAGAGGGGATGGGGGGGGAAGGCCGCTGCCCGAGCAGACATGCAGTTGGCGATCTCTAATCAGTGGTTTCCAGTAAAGCCCTACACAGTTGGCATTTGCCCTGGTAACCTTGTCTTCTTATGCATTCTACTAACCCCTTCGCCTACCAAGCCTTGGAACAGAGCAGAACAGTCAGGGAAAACAAAACAAAACAAAACAAACAAACAAAACAAATAAAAAAAAAAAAAAAAGAAAGCAAAAAAAAGGAATAATAAGGGAAGAAAAAAAAAAGAATAAAAAATATTTTTAGAAATGAAGTCTTCATTTTACTCAGTCCTGGGTCTACTGGCAGCATTTTACTTTTGTTTGCTCATTTAAATTTTGATTTCAAAGTGTTCATTATTTTTGGAGTTTTTAAATAGGGTATTTGTTTGCTCGCTTGGGGCTTTTTGTTTTGTTTCTGTTTGTGTTTTGTTGTTGTTGTTGTTGTTTTGTTTTAGCGTTTTAGACGTACCATTCGTTAAAATTTGATGTAAGCGTGCTGTGGCTGGACGTGTGATGGACTGCGGAGGAGGAAGGGGATAAGGAGCTGGCGGTCTGGTTTTCTGTGGATGGAGACACGATGGTTGGTGGGGTGGAGGACTCGTAGCCTGAGCTGGCGGCGGGAGAAGGCTGGGACCCCTGCGAGGATGATTCATGGACCTGCAAAAGAAAACCCGGGCAGAGATAGAGAACAGCGGCGGACGGAGGCCTTCGCCTGGGGATGCGCCAGACAACGGGACCCAGCGCCGAGTCCCAGGCTCGGGCACTCCTGCGGGGCTCGCCGGCGGCCCCGGCCCCGGCCCCGGCCCCGGCCGGCGGGGGAAGGCCGGACTGCGCCCCCCGGCAGCCTCCTGGCGCTGCCCCCCGCCCTTCCCCGGGCAAAGCTCGCCGCCCGAGGGCCCCGCGGAGGGGCCGGTGCTGAGCGCGGCGGGCCGGGCGGCGCGGCCCGGCGGGCCCGGGGCTCCTCAGCCGGGCGGCCCCGGCCGCGCTCCTCCCGCGGGCACCGCCGGCCCGGCAGCCCTGCCCGTCCCCGCAGCCCTTCGCCCGGCCGGGCCCGCACGCCAGCCGCCCTCCATTTACCTTCATGTGCTTTCGGAGGGAGCTGGGGTGCGTGTAGGACTTGTCGCACATTTTGCAGAGATAGGGCTTGTCGGAAGTGTGCACATGCATGTGCTTTTTGCGGTCGCTGCTGTTTGCAAAGCGCCTGTCACAGCCCTCGAACTCACACTTAAATGGTTTTTCACCTATTGCAGAGGGAAGGGGGGGAGGGGGGAGGGAAAGGGATCTGATTAAGCAGGGCCGGCTGGATCGTTCATTGTCCCCACCGCACCTCCGGACGGAGCCCAGGGCTCCATTCCAAACACTTACAACTTTGTAACTTCAACGAGGCTCAAATCCCAAAACCTTGCTTCTCCTCTCTGCCTTTTCTGCTCCTCCAACTCCTGCTCAGCGCCCTTTTCGGAGAGCGGGAGAACTAAATAACTTTTTTTTACCCCTTCCCTTTGGAGAGGTGAGTTTCCTTTACAACCCCAGTCCTGGGCACCTCTCTCTCATCACAACGCTCCGAGCGAGAGAGCAGGCGTAGTGGGATATGCACACGATCCTCAGTGTCTACTTTCCGGTTTTATAGCTCATTCTCGTAATATTTTACTCTTCCACCCACTCCAGCCCTCTTCCCCGCATTTTCTTGCAATATTGAAAATTGTCCAGCCCCGGAATACAATGAGTGAGCAGCTCCACAAACCCTCGGCAAAAGGGACGGAGAAAGCGGTTCTGGCTTTCGGAGCTCGGGGGTGGGAGCGGGGGGAGATTGCTCTCCCTGCCAGAGGTTGCTGCATTCCCACCTCCCACGAAGGAAAAAGTTCTCAGGGATACCGGCGCCTCCCCTCCGCACAACAATAACACACTAACGCTCCGGGCTCGGTTTATTTAAAATCTCTCCTCCGAATTAAATATTTACCAAGCCCTGAATATTTACCAAGCCCTGACTGATGAGCTGCCTGCAATATTTAGCACAATTTCTCATCGTGCCACAGCCAAAACTACCGAGCAATAATTAATTAAAACCTATAAATTTAAACAGGATAGGTTGCTGTGATCCCCCACCCCACCCCCTCCGCCCTAACAATTCCAGCAGCAAACCCTGCCGTCCTCCCTCTCTGCCTCGGCGGGGATCATTTTCTTTTTGTTGCTGCTGCTGGCGTGGCTGTGACCGAGCTCCTTTTGCAGCGAAGCTCCTAGCCGGCCTCTCCCGGAAAAAGCAGTGGCCCTGGACCATCCCCCCTCCTGCCCGTCCGACTTTCGGCCAAGCCAGGCCTCCCGACCCCTCCGGCACGGCCCCGCGTCCCGCTCTGGCCCCGGCGCTCGGCGCTTCCACTCGCAGAGAGAAAAGCGACAGAGAAGGTTACCGTACCTGTATGAGTTCTTTTGTGTATTTTGAGATTCTCTGATCTGGCAAACACTTTGCCACAGCCTGGAAAAGGGCAGGGGAAAGGTTTTTCACCTGTGTGGACTCTGATGTGATTTACAAGTTTATATTTGGCCTTGAAAGGTTTCCCTTCTCTTGGACATTCTTCCCAGAAACATATGTGATTGGACTGCTCGGGTCCTCCAACGTGCTCCACCGTGACATGAGTCACCAGCTCGTGCATCGTGCTGAAAGTTTTGTTGCAGGACTTTTTGGGGTTTGACAATTGTTCGGGCTCAATCCACTTACAGATGAGTTCCTGTTTGATGGGCTGCCTCATGTAACGAAAGAAGGCCCCTGCCCCGTGGTGGGCTGCCATGTTCATGTTCATGTGGCCGTAGCCGTGCAGCTGGGTCGAGGCGTAATGCTCGGAGCGGGGGCTGGTGACCTGGCCGTACTGGTCGGGTCTGCCGTACATGTCTCCGGAGAAGCCCAGGCGCATCTGCCCGTTCACCACGTTAGGCGAAGCGTGGCTGGTGGCTTGTTCGTGCAGCCCCGGGAAAAGTATATGTCCCGCGGCATCGGTGTGTCCGTGGGGTCCGGCGAAACTGCCGGCAGCCGAGGCGAACAGGCTGTGCTGGGCGCTGGCGGCCGCCGCCTCCCCGAAGCCCCGGTTGCGGAACAGAAAGTCCCGGGTGGAGTTGAAGGCGGCGCTGGAATAGGAGCTGACATGGGTCGGGTGGTGGTGGTGCCCCAGGGCCGCCGCCGCGTAGCCGGGCGCCTGCGAGGTGAAGGCGGTCTGGCCGGCCGAGGCCAGCTCGTGGGTGCTGGGGTTGATTTTGAAGGCGCCCATGCCGTCGGCGAAGGGGTTGATCCCCAGCCCCACTTCTCTGTCCGTGACATCGGCCGTGGAGTGGTGGCGAGAGGATCCGAAGGTAGTGACTCCTATGGCGGGATACTGCGGACCAGCATCCAGGAGCATCTTCCCAGCGTCGATGCAGCAACCAAAAAAAAAGCACGCGCGCACACACACAACGCGGAGAGAAGCAGCAGCAGCAGCAGCGGCGGCGAAAACACCCTCTTTGGAAAGTCAGCGACGATCACCACCAAAGCAACCACATCAAAAACACCCCCTTCGGCATCAGCGCAGGGGGAAGGAAAAAAAGGGGGGGGAGAAAGGAAAAAAAAAAAAAAAAAAGGCTGGTGCGGAAGGGGGGAAGAGATCTTCGCAGTTGCAAAAATAATAATAATAATAATAATGTGCTCCAAAAATATTCACCGTCTCTCTGCTTTGACTTTTCAGGGAGGTTTAAGTGGGGAGGGGGGGGGTGGGTAAGCTCAAAAATAAACTGGCTGCAAATAACAATAACGGCGAGAGTTCAACACGGGCAGCAAAAAAAAAAAAAAAAAAATTGAAAAAAAAACCAAAACAAAAAAGAAACTTCCTTCAGTGATTTTTTTGGCTATAGGAATGTTGCAAAGTGGCCGAGAGATTGTTTCTCTCTCCTCTTCGAGCTTCCCCACACTCACCCGATTTTTTTTTTTTTCGGGGGGCCTTTTTTTTTTTTTTTTCTCCCTCTGCAAAAAAAAAGGCGCAAATCATGCACAATATTGTCTTTTGCGGTTTATCTTCCTGGGGAGAAACTTTCACCTCCTCAGCCGGGCGGTGAACGCGAGACTGATAGCGGCAATCATTCCTGCAGATAAATGAATTGAAAAGACGACACCGTCCCCCCCCTTGATGAATGGGAGCGGGGGGCGGAGCGCCGTGCGGGCGGACGTGGGTACCCATTGGCCCGGGCTGGCTCCCCCTTCCCCGCGTCGCAGCCCCCGGCCCCGCCGGCTGCCGCCGCTGATTGGCCGCGCCGGCTCATCCATCGCAGGTATTGTGGCGCCCTGACACCGCTCTGACAAACGGGGCTGCGGCAGAAACAACTTTTTTTTTTTTTTCTTTTCTTTCTTTCTTTCTTTCTTTCTTTTTCCTCTTTTTTTTTTTTAATATATAAGCTTTTTTTTGCTTTTTTGCTATTTTTTTTACCTTTTTTGTGTGTGTGTGTCCGTCCCCCCTCGCCCCCCCCCCCGAAAATATTTTCAGCGAATCTTTTTGTGTGTATGTATGCTAAGGGAACAACAACAAAAAAATTCTTCTATTATTATTATTAGGGTTATTTTCTCTCCCACTTTGCCTCTCTCTGTCCCTCTCTCTCTCTCTCTTTCTCTCTCTCTCTCTCTCTCTCTCTCTCTCTCCCCCAGCACTCTGGGAATGATGGTTATGATGATTTCTTGGTGATCCAGAATTTTTGAGATCACTGAGCAACTTTTTAGGCTTTGGAAAGAGAAGCCCTGTAGGGACTCATGTCTTTTGAAGGTGTTTTCCTCTTGTTTAAAACTGAAGCTTTCCGAGAGTAGGTGCTGGGTGCACTTGATTTTATTTTTAAACACCATGATTTCTCTGTGTAGCTGACTCTATCCCTCCATCAGATTTCTGAAATAAATCTTGTTTTCTGCACCCATCAAAACGCAGGTGGGTGAGAACTCTTAACTTTCTAATTTTGTTGTGGTTGTTTCGCCTCCTTTTTTTGTTATTTTCTTTCTCTTTTCTCTTTCACTCTCATTTTCTCTCACTCTCTCTTTTACGGAGTCTCTTTTATTCAAATGAAACTGTAAAATTCACAAACCTACATTATTTCTCCTTCTACTGCATGAAACTGCCGGATACTTCTCTCTTTATTATTTTTCTTTTTTAAAAAAATTTAAGTCTTCGATAGGAGCAATGTTAATTTTCTGACATTCAAACCTTTTCTAGTTCACAAATCAGTCACCCTTGTCACAGTTATTGAAATTCCTCAACTTGCCACACCAGGACGGTGGAAAAAGCAGGCGGTGTCTTTGTTGCTGACCAGGCTTTTGATCGCCAGAGAAAATTTACTTACCTTCAGATGAGTGAGCAGAAAAAGAAATAACACTCCCTTTGATTTAGTTAGAAAAATGCAGACATTTGGATTCAGTGCAAACATACAACACTTGGTTGTTTTCTAGATGCAACCCTCGATTAACCTGTCTTTCCCCAGCTCAAAGTCTATTGAAAAACTGTGGATAGTTCTTTTTTGTTCCCGCTACAAAGAGCCATTGACTATATATTAAAATGATTGTTGAAAGGTATAAGTATGGTATTTAAAAGCAGAAAGCCTTTGTGGTTTAATCAATTAAGCTGAGCAACATTTGTACAATATTTTAAATGATGCTTCGGCACTAAAAAAAAAAAAAATCTCATGAAACTTTAAAATACAGACGTCTTTGTGTGAGTATGCATAGATACACTTATGTATGTGCTCATGTGTGTCCATATATAAAACTGGCAAATTATTTATTTACTCAGTTGCCTCCATATTCATTAGCTCTAATTATTTTCTAGTAACGAAAACACCAAAAGCTCGCTAAGAGTCAGACTCCTTACATTTCGCCTTTGTTCAGCCCTTCCCTTGCCTCCTTCGAAGCTCAATCCGAGCCCCTCGAATTCCTGGTGCCAAACAAAGAAACTTTAAACTCATCCTCTCCAGTTAAAGCCGCTGGTAAGCAATCCGCAGCGCAGGTACTGAGGAGTCGGACCAGCAGCGCAGCTGCGCGAACCCTTCTCGGGTGAGAACTGCCTCATTTCGAGAGGTATAAAATGGCCATTGCGCCTAGAAAACAAACAAACAAACAAACAAAAAACAACGACAATAAATAAACTTTGATATACCTTGAAGGAATGTTTCGCTGCAGTTTATCTGCAGATGCAGTGTGCCTGTTCTCGGTGCATGGAGATAGCTTTCAAAGCAGACATATTACGTAATTTTTCTTGGATCTTGGGAAGCTTTAAAAGGTTTGGTGGGTCTTTTTTTAGAATAATGCTGAGCTGAATCTACACGTTTGCATTTATTCTATCAAATTTATTTGATGGAATTGCAATAGCTTATAGCAACAGGTATACCCGCTCTAGAAGCGCCTGGGTGTGGACATGGTTTTAAGGCAGGTGTTGCACTGCTTTCTGTATTTGGTGCTAAAATGCAGTGAAGGACAGACTTTCCAGCGTTGTTGTGAACTCTTCTGGGCGATGGCATTAGGAGAGCTAGGAAGTTAGGTAGTTCAGTGCTAGCCTGCCTCCCAGCGCAGGGGGATACAAGTGATCATTCCAGGTCGGTACAAAATACACGAGAAGGCAGACGAGAAGGTATTTTTAGGAAGCGTATCTAAATATACAATGTAAGAGTGAATGTAAAAAAAAAAAAAATGTTGTGGGTTGTAGAAGTTATCAAGTGGGATTTGCGGTGCGCTCTCTGCAGGAAACGAAAGCTGCTCCAGTTCAAAGCCACATGCACCAACGTGACATATAAGCCATTAAAATATCATCCTGACGGCTCATTTCTGCTTCATCATACATTCCCTAACTGCTTCCAGAAAGCAAGAAAAGAAGAAATGAAGGATGACCGCCTCGATGGAAGCGCCAAAGAGGTGGTGGGTTCTTGGGGGGGGGGGGGCGAGTATTGTTTTCTTCTTTCATTCTTTCTTTCTTTTCCCTTCCCCTCCACCCCCACTTTTATTTTTGCCAGTTCAGAAATGAGGGGAAACCTTCAACAGGTCGCAGGGGTAAGTGCCTGAGAGTAGGGGGTGCCTGGGCAGTGCGGGCAGCTGGCTGGCCCCCATCGCCTGCCGCAAGGGCTGGACGAGAGCTCCCTGTCGTCGGGGGGGCCCGGCGGGAGGCGGCTTGGACACCCTGGGGAGGAAGTGCTTGGAAGCCTGCGGTGCGAGGGGACAGCTGCACGGCTGCCCCCTCACCCACGTGGGGCAGGGTCCCGACAGCACCTCTGCGGGCGGGGGCGGGCGGAGGGACAAGAGCGCGGGAGCCATCGAGGGGGTGTCCGGAACCCTCCGCCGGACCCCGGCAGACGTTCCTGCCCCCCGAATGCAAAAGAGGGCGAGGGCTTGGCCTGGCGGTCCGAGCAATGCAGAGCGCGGTGGTCTGCGGAGCTGGGTGGCGGGGTCCGCGGAGAGGGGCGGAGGCGCTCCCGGCCCCGACAGTGCCGGGCTCGCTTCGGACGGGCAAGTGGCGGGGCCGGACGGGTTTTGCGGTCGCCCAGGAGGGGCAGGGGGCCCGGGGCGGCGGGCAGAGGGTGAGGAGCGCTGACAATGGAGAGCCCCGTGGGGAGGCGTCCCGGGGACGCGCTCCCCGCCCAGGACCTCGCCCACCACCGCACCCGGTGCCACGGGGGCGCGCCCGGGGGACCCGATGCTCCAGCACCGCACACCCTTCTTTATAGGCGGGTACGGGAGGGACGGAGCCCGGGAGCTCGGCCGGCCCCCTCCGACCCCCACCCGCCCCCCGCGGGCAGAGCCGGGGGCTGCTCAGGGAATTGGGTGCTGCCGCCAGCTTCGAGTAGAGCCCATGGAGGGGTTGAGACCCCCGTTCCGGCCCCGAGGGGCCGTCCTGCATCTGCAGCCGGCTAGGGAAGGGGGGATGCTCCAAATCCCTGCCCTGGGCGATGCCTCCGAAGGTGACCTCTGACCCAAGCCCAAATCAGTGTGCCAGCCCCTGGCCCCGGCACGGTGCAGAACCGACGGGAATAGGGGTGGGATCCTCGCCGAGACACCCCGGCCCCACGCCCTGCCACTCTTTTGTCACCCACGGTCCCTCAGCCAGGGAGACCCCGGCCGAGCGGGGAGCACGTTGGCCGGGCTTGGCTCGGGGTTTGCTCCACCCGCAGACGGTGAACTTTATTTCTGCACCGAGCCCTTCCCAGTGAACGCTCCGTCCGCCCTGCGCGGCCGCGGAAAGCACAGGTTGCGTGACAAGCCGGTGGCGGCGGGGCACACACCGTCCCCGCTGCCACCCACTCGGTCTGGCTCTCACACACCCGCCCGGGGCCGTGGGGATCCCGCGGGCGGTGGCTGCTGCAGCCCCGCTCCGCCGGCGCACCTTCGTCCGGGTGTAGGAATGAGCGTTTAGGTAAGGGCAGGGGGGAGGGAGGAGGGGCGGGTCCCATCGCAGCCCCAGCCCTAGCGCGACACCCGGGGGGAACTGGTAGCCCCACTGGTAGCTTGCAGTAGTGCCCCGGAGCTCGGTCCGGCCGAGATCCGACCAGTTCGGGCAATTGGACATCCTCACCCTCCTGCTCTGCTGAAGGCACAGTGCAGATGAGAAAAGCGTGCGAGGTCGAGCCAGAGTTTTAGTCAATATTTACTCTGAAATCCACAACTGTTTTGCCTTCCTTTTTGTCATCTGGTAACCATTTGAAATCTTAAATGCAGCTTTTTTTTTTTTTTTTTTTGTCCAGTTTCAACAAGTTTTGGCGAACGCTTGGGAACTGAGCACTCCTCCAGCCTCATATCCTAACCAATAAAGCTCAGCTCCTGCAAATCTCTCTCTAGCGGGGCAGTGTTGGCTGCTCTGACTCGAGAAAAGTGCAAGGATGAATGGAACTTGGCTAGGAGTTTTAATACCTAAAGGATTCCTGAAGTTGTTCTTATATCGGCAGTAATTTTCGTCACAGCATTGAAAATATTGAGGATATCAAATTATTTATTACAGAGTATGAGCGTGATACGATGATGAAGTTTCATAATTAATACCATTAAGTGTTTGTCTTAGTATAGATTTTTGTTTTTCAGCTCTGGAGTCCCTACAATAATAGTAGCAAGAGTAATAATAATAATAGCATTTGAAGTAACAGATTCTAGACCCTA